TGGTGATGGGTGGTTGGGGGGCCGCGGTTAGGGGGGGGGGGGCTGGCAAGGCAGCATGGCCCGTGGGCTTTTTTTCTCCTCCACCCCCCCCCCCCAAATCATTGCTCGCTTTGTGTGCGACAGGAAGATCGGGCTGTGGGCGAGCCGGCGTCCCCGACGGGAGAGAGAGAGGGGGGGGGGGGGGGGGACGCCTCCAGCTGCCCGGGGAACTTCCCACCCTCGTCTACGAGGGGGGGGGGGGCAACCACCAACAGCCCAGGACGCGTCATCAACCACCAACCACAACCACCACCACCCTCAACCGCCCCCCGCCCCCCAACTACTCACCCGCCCCCCTCCTCGACGTCCCCTGCCAACACCAACGCCACATCGCACCCCGGGCTCGCTGCTGCGTAAGGGAGTGGGGGGAGGATTGGGGGATGACGAGAGGCTGAAACGTGACTCCCACTCTCTCTCTCTCTGTTCCATCCTGTCTGTTGCTCGTCACTGTCTTGGCTAAGGTGTGCGTGCGCGTGTGCGCGCGTGTGTCTTTGTTGAACCTCTTTCGCACCGTACGTGGTCAACCGTGCTCATCGGAGGTGCTGGGGTGGGGGGTGGAAGGACACCAAACCGAAGAGTAGGAGAGTAGTAGTGGCAATGTGGGTACTGTATTGGTATGCTGCGTTCGATATCGCGGTGGCGCTGTATCGGCTTGTGATGTCGGGTTGTCACGTCGGGGTTGTGATGTCGGGGTTGTGATATCTGGTTGTGATCTCGGCTTGCCGCGCGTGCTGTTCGTCACCATGTCATGCCTGCCGCTAGCAACTTCACTCCCAGTTCCTGACGAAGCTCCCCCAGCGCGTGGAACGGAACGTCGGACATCGCGCCGAACAGCACGCGGTAATAACGTCGGGAAAGCGCATCCGGGAGCTCGCGTGCGTACAAGGTCGGCGTTGTTTGGCCGTGCTTGTGTCGTCTCCGATGTTCGCTAGAAGGGGCGAGAGCCCGGTTTCAGCCCAGACAAAACCAGACATTAATGGCTTTGGCCAAACGCTCTAAAGAACCAGGCAAGGAACATTCTGGAATAGGAGTCAACGCGATTTTTGTTTTTCTTCCAGCTAAACTATATGACAATATAAGAGGAGTTAACAGACACACAAGCACAATACATATATTATTTATACATGCAAAACACGCGCGACATTCACCATATTATTTGCTTATATAATACATGCACGTGTACCGGACGTACAGAAAGTCGGGGTAATCTTCGATTTCGAGCACAGCACAAAGTGCGTACTGTAAGTAGACACACTAGTTCCAATAATCATGGCAACTTAATAAAATCTATTCGATCCCTTACGGTGTGTAACCTTTAACTCTACAAATCAATTAGAATGTTATCTGGTAACCTACATCGAGTGCATTGCAAGCCGCGTCTCCTGAATTTCTGCACCGCAAGCATTTATGATATGCATCCTCCCATCGGTTCATTAGAAATGTATTCGATCACTTGGTTATGAAGGTCGTTTTGTCGATATTATATCCGGGTATTGTACATTTAGTCAAACGTAATCTTATTTCTTTAGAACTGCTTTTTTGTGTGTTCAGTTGGTTGTGCTTTCCCCGGCACCTCCGATTCGCACGGATGGCCACGTACGGTGGTGCGAAAGAGGTTCAACATACATGCATACACAAAGATCCCCCATGTAGCCTTTAATATAAATTTGAGGCAAGTGCAGGCCGGGCGGTTACACGACGAAATGATTGACAACTCGCATTGACACGTAGTATAAACTTTCCCATCGATTCAACCGCTGCGCGGACACGCTAGCAGATATCTCCATGAAGAATGAAAGCGTGACCCACTCAGGTGCAGGCCTAAGGCGTCCTGGGTGTCACAACTGCTTCGCGTTTCGATTTAAAGCTGTCGTGACTGCAATGATTCATCTTCTTGGTTCTTTCGGTAAAGTCACGTAGAATGAGAATAAAACAATAAAACAAATTAATACAATAAAATTCTCCTGGATAGACCTGTTTCTTCACCTGAGGAAGGCCGCTTGTGTTGTGGCCGAAACGCCGTGAGAATTTAATTGTCTTAATTTGTTTTATTGTTTTATTCTCATTCTACGTGACTTTACCGAAATAACCAAGAAGATGCTTCGCGTTCTCACGAGAATTTCGCCTCTGGTGTGGATTTATTGTGTTTCCTATTGCCATTTGTCGAGTGTTGTGGCATGTGGAAGAAGACGATGGTTAGGAGATGTTCACTACCTCGCCTGGTATACAAGAGGTCGTGGGTTCGATCCCGACCCCTGACGTCTGCTGTATATTTGGAGGGTTCATGTCTCTCTCTCTCTCCCCGTGGTCGCGTGGATTTTTCTCCGGGTGCTCTCCGGTTTTTCCCTCCACATTTAGAATCAACATTCACGCGTTTAGAGCATTTGGCCACTATCAATTTCCACACGATGATGAGCCACTTCGTTGAGCTAATCATTTGTTGCCATTTCGCTTCTCAAAAAGAGCCACATAGCTCAGTGGACCTTACCTGGTAAAAATCGATTAGTGTATAGTTCAAAACCCACACACGCGGGGAGATAACACACAATAACCCGCTCCCCACACACACACACAACTCCTCACAGACACGTCTGTTGTTCATGGCGATCGCGATGCGGTTAACGCACCGAGCGATCGATGTTTTTTTCGAAAGCCTGTCCCGTGAGTTCGAATCACAGCTACGGCTAACATCAGTGTTGAGTGATAGCTGAACCTGTGCACGTCCCCCCCCCCCCACAAACAAGCCTCAGCCAACGTGCACTTAACCGCTTGGTGAAGTATGGCCAAACAACACCGCGTGAGAGGGAAGGCCTTCGTGACAACAGACGATTTACAAAGCTCGAATTCTTAGTTTTATATTTACGGTTCAAATGGCGCTTGCGGTGCCGGTCTGGGTCACGTGGTCGTTTGTCGACTCGCCGAGGTGGGGGTCACGTGATCACGAAAGCTCCCCCCCCCCCCCGAGCAATTATCGTTGTCTAGGTCAGCTTCGTATGAACTCTTCGGATGAACGCATAGTTGGACAGTACACACACGTCACTTTCAAATGTCACGCAATTTATTTATAAAATACCCGTCCCACAAACCGCCCCCAAACACTCGCCTTAACATTAGCTAGCGTATAACATACTTGTGGATTGCGCAGTCTTTAATATTTATACACGCCAGGGTGTCACTCAGAATTCAAGTTTGTTATTGTTAGCGTCACATCCTCCTGGCTTCATTAATTTTGCCCGTTAAACTGAAGCCACTTGGAACCCGAAGATCACCCCTCAATACGTACCGGTTACTCAGCGGGAATTGAAATGGCATTGCAGCGAGTCTTCTTGTTAGGTTTAATGTTCGGTTCGTAACAATTAGCCCGTACTCTCCATTTGCCTGGGTGAAAAGTGGGCTCGGTTTTGCCCAAATGCTGGCCAGCTGGCTTAACGACTTCATAGAGGAAGTGAAATGGATACACGGTTTAGTAGAGGCATAGACGCAGAGAAGTAGTGTTAAGTCATCACGAGTAACCTGTAAATATGAACAGATTTGAATAATACCCTCAGCTGTTGACTTTTACATCAAAAGTAGCAAATTGAGAGAGTGTAATTGTATTTGTTTTAACGTAACTTTGTTTCCCTCCATTTGCATGTTAATGAGTGACACTCTAATTAATACGCTGCACATGACAGGTTTTACAAGATCAGAGAGTTACTACGACAGGACACGTCGGTATAGATTGTTAATATATGCGGTCCTAATTTGGAGTGTATTTACGCGTCACACAGACAGACGCTCGCCTATACACGTGGCAAGTGGAACACGGATAAAATGTTAATAACGATAGCAACAAAAAAATCAACTTTAAATAACAATAGACTCACAAATTATCGTGGATAATTTATCCCAGTGACAATTGAACATGTTGTTGCGGGAAGGCTTATTTGCATTGCCAATTAATTCTGCTCTGAGTGTCACACGCTGTCCCTTAATTCGGACGGGCAGGCGAGACTATATATATAGTATTTACCATCATTACATTAGTGCGTTGTGATTCTTTGAAAATAAAAATAAAAATTTATGGCACACTGTCAGTATGTTCGCTACCACAGCGAGTACTCACTAACAATACGCAGTTACTCACAACACACAATCCGGCATCAACTGTACTTTCTGAGCAGGGCAATGCAGAGTACACACACACATATACTGTATATAAAAGTGTCCTTATAATAGTGTAAAGTTCTTCCACGGAACTTGCAACATCTTCAGCATCTTGAAGTCAGAACAACCCCGAGCTAAAGTTTCGTTTTGCCTTCAGTGAACATTTCTCGCATTGCATAGACACACGAAGACAAAGATCCCCCGTGTAGCCTTAACAGACTGTTAGGGGCAAGTGCTGTTATGGAGCACCTTTGAAGGCCGACACGGCACACGAGTGGGGAGATGCGGGGGGTGTCAGTGGGTGGCCAGATACCACGCCCGGTCGCCTTTGTATCCCCAGTGGCGATGTTTATTTAGTTTTACACACCACACCAGGTACTCATTTGAGGCTGAGTCAACCTCATATATTAGACACACACACACACAGGCACATCTGCAGCTTGGGGCACAGTCACGTAACACACGTACCACACACATACAACCGCGTCTCCTCCTCCTCCTCCGTGCGTGCGTGCGTCTCGCACAAGCGGCGGCCCGGCTGTACCGGGGCCACAGATGATGCATCGTAGCGACCGGCTGGCCCTCGGGTCGGTACCGAGGTCGGTTTCACGGCGATGATCAATCACAACGAGGACGACGAAGATGATGATGATGAGGATGATGATGGTCGTAGTGGTTTTGGTGACGATGCCATTCATTGGGCGCTACATGGTAAGCGCATCCTCGCCACAGTTGCGGGATCGTTGTGGAGTGGAGGCTTTGGGGGCGGTGCATTTATAAAGATAACTGAGACAGAGAGAGTTGGGGGGGGGAATCGTGGGGAGCCGGGCGAGGAGAGGCCGAGGCGAGCCTCTCACGGGAGAGTCGCCGAGCCGGTCGTGCCACCGCTCCCGTTGTTCATGTTGGTGGCGTTGGCCGCGGCTCCACTCTGCTGCCTTCGCATTAGCTTCTTCTCCTTCTGCCTCTGATTCTGGAACCAAATCTTGACCTGCGCGGCAAGGAAGGGCATGGGCAGGGCATGGCAACGCGTTCCGATGGCACACGTGGTGTTAGAAGCTCGGCGGAGGTTTCCATATTTAGATTTGAAGCTTTCGTGATTGCAGGAATCCATGCTCTTTGATTTCAATTCGGTAAAGTCACGTAGGTATAAAATAAAATAAATGACGACGTTTCGGGCGCAACACAAGCGTCCGTCATCAGGTGGGAATGATGACGGACGCTTGTGTTGCGCCCGAAACGTCGTGATTCATTTTATTTTCTACCTACGTGACTTTACCGAAAGAACCAAAGAGTAAAGATGTTTTCATGTTTTGCCCGGGCGGTGATGGGGTGGTAGGGGTCCGGAGCTGGCCGTGTGATCTCTCAGAGTCGCTCAGTTGTCAATTTTAAAGGATTCACGGGTGGAGTCAGTTGGGTGACGTTTGCCGGCTGGGGGTTATTTATTTTTGTCGTGAGTCAAAACGCACCGAGAGATTCAGTAAACGAGTGCGCGTTTGAAATTCACCCGCGTGTTTGCACCTCGCCTGTGCTTATCAAAGGAAACCTTACCGTGGTTGTATGCAATACACGTGCGTGACTTGCGCGTTACGTGTGTGTGCGTGTGTGCGACGTGGGTCTAGCATCAATACATAACAGCACTTGAAATGAATTACCATGGTAACATTTTAAATGTGGTGAATAGTGGGCTGCTGAATACAGACAGCTCTCATAGGCTACCACAGTGTATGACGACCCTGTACCCTGCTATGTTATAGCGCGGGTACGTATGTATGTCTGTGCGTGTAGGCCTATAGTGAGTGTGTAAGTGTGTATTGGGGTTAGTGTAGCGGTGAGCACGCCGCGCTACGAACCCGGCGACACGAGTTCGATTCCCGCTCACGGCCAACACCCGGTGACGATTATCTGAACCGGTCCTGGGCCTCCGCTAGATCGACTGAGCCTCAAATGAGTACCTGGTGCGGCGTGTAAGCATCGCCACTATGGAGACATAGGGGACCGGGCGTGGTGCTGGCCACACGCAACTTCGTGTGCCGTGCCGGCCTTTATAGGGGTTCGCTAACAGCACTTGCCCCAATAATCTGTTAGGTCTATACGGGGGATCTTTGTATTTTGTTGCAGGTAAGTACGTTGAGTTAAAGGTACATATATATTACGCCTAATTTCAATGTACAGCAATTACACTGTATATTGACAATGACAGAATCTTTCCCGTAAAGCTATATATGTTTAGTATGTATTCATGCACATGTTCAACAAAGACAAAGATCTCCCGTATAGTCTTCAACAGACACTTGGGGCAAGTGCTGTCAACGAGCACCTGTGACGGCCGGCACGGCGCACGAGTTGGCCACGCCCGACCGCCTTTGTCTCCCTAGTGGCAGTGTTTGCACGCCGCACTAGGTACTCATTTGAGGCTGAGTCGACTTAGGGGAAACCAAGGACGGGATCAGATAATCGTCACTAGGTGTTGGCCGTGAGCGGGAACTAAACTCGGGTCGCCGGGTTAGTAGCCCATCGCGCGAATCGCTACACGATCGTTCCACACGACACCACATTTCAAAGACAAATACAAAGATCCCCCGTATAGCCTTTACAGCCTGTTGGGGCAAGTGCTGTCAGAGAGTAGCACCTATAAAGGCCGGCACGGCACACGGGGCGAGGGGTGGCCAGCACCACGCCAGACCGCCTTTGTCTCCCCAGTCGCGATGTCTACACACCGTACCCAGTGACGGATTATCCCAGTAGCAAAAGTAGCTACAAATGCTACGGGCCCCGCATTTTCAAGAGCCCCGCGCTAAATGATTTCAAGCTATCAATTCTGGTTCAGTGATTCTGCACTTGCTCTATTACTATAGTACTATACTGTCTTCAACTTGTATGAACGACTGGGTGTTTAAGGTTAGCGATTTGTCGTATTATCTGGCTGTATAGCAAATGAAAAAATTCAATTACTTTCCTTTGCAAGTGAAAGATTTTGGTGGTTGCGGGTTTTAACAACACATTGTTACGCGATCTAACCCCAAAAAAAACCTCTTATGGATACAAATTTGTATTTTATTATTTGTGTTTTTTTATATATAGGGTCCCTTTATAACAAATGCTACAGGTCCCGCACTAGCTTAATCCGGCACTGACCGTACCAGGTACTCATTTGAGGCTGAATCGACCTAGGCGAGGCCCAGGACCAGTTCAGATAATCGTCACTACAACACAGATTCACACGCACGTAAAATAACTCACGCAAGCACAACACTCTAGGTCTACTGCAGCCGAACATTCACATATGTACACGCGAACGACATTTTTTTAAGTACGTACCATTCTTATCTATGCATATACAATGTATAATGAACGTCCTTTTCATAAACGTAAAAGGTATCTGTCGTGTGGCGTGGCAGAAGGTCGAAATTATTTTGATCGTCGTCAAAGCGTCGCACGCTGAGAGTGAACACGTGGCAACTGTATCGGCATCACGTGTCATTGCGTCACAATGCGGTGATATATACAACACACACGCCACAAACATATAAATCACTCTTTCTATTTTTGAACTCGTATAAAGAACCAAACATAGCAACAAATATGCCAAAAGGATTTATATACAGTACATCATTATAGTTATTCGGCCTCTTCAGCGTTCTGTGCGATTCAGTTGTTCGCAATTGTGCGATGCTTCCATCAACAGCTGTATTATTTTATTGTATACGTATATAGCCCACGTAAGTCTGTATTGTGTAAATGCAATGTGACGTTCATAAGGCTATTGTACACAATACGTACACAACCTATGTAAACGAGCGTAAATTAAAACAAGTTATTTTGTAAGTACTTGTTCGCATAACGTGAGTGATATGGTAGTGTTATTGTATTTGTGCTTTTGCACCATCACCCAAATAATGAACGTATAAGTATATGTATAGGCATTGCATCATAGCAGAGTTAGTAATAATATTTAATAGTACCACAACTCAAACTCCACAATTTAATCACCCGATATATAGCGTCTTTAAACGTTACCGTATCTACACTGATTACACCCATTCGCGAGTCACCTAATTCATACGTACATTTTATCGGCAAGTGTTATTCACTGTAGAAATACGGATATAGCTTGTACAACGCGAACGCACACGTCATATGTAATCGTGCAATGCCACTGCAGTATTATTACACTACATATACCAAGGCCGTAATTATAATATATATTGGGAGGGGGGGACTAATATGGGGGGGGACTAATACCCCCCCCCCAATATTCAAATGTGCTCAAAATGTCCCCCCAATATATTTATACAAAAAATTTGCTATGCTATGTAAATATAAACAACAATTTGCTAAACCTTGCAATATCTGGACTTGTCTTCATATAAATCAATGCATAGATTTCTGTTTATATGATTGTGGTTATGGTTGGACTTTATTAATCCCTAATCTCTGCCATTACACACAATGAAACAAGACATGTTAAAACAAGTAAAAACAGAGCAATGTAATACAATACACTATTAGACAATATTGAAAAAAAAAGTTAAGAAAAAGTCCATCCCATGTGTTAGTACATTTTTTAATATTTTAGGTAGGAAATGAGTTTTCAAATGTAGATATTTTTCTGGGTTGGGACCCCCAGACACCCTGGAAGATTTGGTTCCCCCCAATGTTGACTCCATGGCTGCGGCCTTGACATATACAGAGACAAATACCCCCTGCCGTAAAGCCTAAACAGACTCCCTGGTGCAAGTGCTGTTAGCGAGCACCTTTTCAAGGCCTCCACGGCGCACGAGGGGGTGGGTGGCCAGCACCACGCCCGACCGCCTTTGTCTCTCCACTGGCGATGTTTACGCACCGCATCAGGTACTCGTTTGAGGCTGAGTCGACCTAGGGGAGGCCCAGGACCGGTTCAGATAATCGTCACTGGCGTTGGCCGTTGAGCGGGAATCGGAATCGTGTAGCGCAATGCGCTACCGACTATGCTACCGCTACCTGACACACAAAATAACAAACACGCATATACTGCCACGCTTGCGTACACGGTCAAGCGAATCGACTGCAGTTTAGCAGCTGCAATGATTCCTCACGTAACGCTTCACGGAGTCTCAAAACCTGTCTCTGGTGCAACTTCCTTGGGTCGATTGTTCCGCGGTGCCTAGGAGATGTTAACTACCTCGCCTGGTACGCAGGAGGTCGTGGGTTCGATTCCCACCCTGTCGCCCGCTGTATATTTGGAGTTTGCGTGTTCTCTCTCTCTCTCTGTCTCTTCCCCAGTGGTCGCGTGGATTTTTCTCCGGGTCGTCCGGTTTTTGCCCTCCACATTAAGAATCGACACGTGTTTCGAGTATTTGGCTGCTATAAATTTCCACACGATCATTTGTGGCCACGTTGCTTATGAAAAAGTGCTACCTACATAGCTCAGTGGGCCTTAGCTGTTAAAATAAAATAATAAAAAGTGTATTTACGAGTAGTAGCAGTAGTAATTCCGGTCGGGGTTGGTTTGTTTTCGTATGGTAAGGAAACCAGCCTGCCCGGTGAAAACCTTACACGCACCAAGGGCCTCACGCTCGCTTCAAGATCCACACAGATGGGTTCACGAACCCGCGTGCTGTGCCGCCATCTCATTGTTGGGGGGAGGCGATGGGCGGAGGGGTTTGTGGGAGTTTCACAAAATCTCCACACGAGGCACCAATGACCTTTGACACGAGAGCGCTTTGTTGCAGGCGCGGTTTATTGATGGCCACCACTGCCGGGTCTTTTTTTGTTTTACCATGCGTTGTATTTCTTGCCTGTGGCCCAGGTCCCCCTTGAGAGGGAGACTCAGCGACTACACGGCCACCCCCACCCCACTACCCGCTACTTGACTTTGTCAGTAAATACGAAACATTCCGCTCGCTGAAGGGATGCGAATTCTCACAACGCAGCGCTTGACGCCTTCCCACCTTCCTCACTCGTAAACACGTGCCTTGCCTGACCTACACCTTACCTGTACCGACACCTCACCTGTACCTAAACGTTACCTGTACCTTCACTTTACCTGTACCTTGCATGTGTCTCGACCGTACCTGTTCCTAACCCTTACCCGTATATCCACCTTATCCGAATATTACCCGCACCTACGGCTTAACCAAAACATTTCCCTAATCTACATTCAACTCACCTGTGTCTACACCCTACCTGAATCTAAACCTCACCTGTACCTACACCTTACCTGTGCGTGTACCTGAACTTTATTTCTACCCGTGCATGTACATTATCTGTACTTTACCCCTTTACCATGCACATCCACATCATCGTCACCTCTCACGCACTCTATCTGCACCTTGGACCCTGCGCGCAACACGTTCCGCATACATAGTCACTCCTCGTTGAACGCGCTTGCAGATGCCTTCCTGAAAAGTGCCGCGCTAAGCGGAACACGCGTCGAGCGAAAACAATTTCCCCATCGTGAATAATGGAGTAGCGATAAGGTTTGACGAGATACGACGTACCGCTACGCACACGCGTGGTAAAATATCAGTCCGTGTTAGTCCGTCACCGCACCGCTCAGCCACGCAGCGCAGGAAAGCGATTCGTCACCGACCGCCCACGTTACAATGGACGGATCGCGTTATAACGTGGGGGCGCGTTTCGCGCTGCGCGAAAAGTGTCCCCAGATGGAAGGACCGCGGTCACAGCGAAAACACGTGGCGCGAACACCAGCGCGTAAAGCGAGGACTGAGCAGTGCGTACAAATACATTACTTCGCAATCACACGAACAAAATAAATTGGCGTGTGCGTGCACGCGCGTGTACGTCGCTGTGTGTTGCGTGTGCGATGCGTGCGTCTGTTGCCCCGCTTACCTGTCGCTCGGTGAGGCTGAGCCGGTGCGAGATGCTGAGGCGCAGCTCCGGGGTGAGGAATCGGTTCTCGTCGAAGGCTCTCTCCAGCTCGGAGATCTGCTGCTTGCTGTAGGGGACGCGCTTCTTGCGGGGCCGCGTGGCGCACGAAGTGCCCTGCGCCGCCTGCGGCCAGTGGCCCGGGATGCCGCCCAGTGCTGGGGAACACAAACGACAATGACGATGCAATGTTACTAACAGTGTAGGATAGTACCAGTACAGTGTTACTAACAGTGTAGAGTAGCACCAGTACAGTGTTACTAACAATGTAGGGTAGTACCAGGGCAGTGTTACTAACAATGTAGGGTAGTACCAGGGCAGTGTTACTAACAATGTAGGATAGTACCAGGGCAGTGTTACTAACAATGTAGGATAGTACCAGTACAGTGTTACTAACAGTGTAGGGTAGTACCAGGGCAGTGTTACTAACAGTGTGGGATAGTACCAGTACAGTGTTACTAACAGTGTATGGTAGTACCAGGACAGTGTTACTAACAGTGTGGGATAGTACCAGGACAGTGTTACTAACAGTGTAGAGTAGTACCAGGACAGTGTTACTAACAGTGTGGGATAGTACCAGGACAGTGTTACTAACAGTGTAGGGTAGTACCAGGACAGTGTTACTAACAGTGTAGGGTAGTACCAGGACAGTGTTACTAACAATGTAGGGTAGTACCTGGACAGTGTTACTAACAATACAGGGTAGTACCAGGACAGTGTTACTAACAGTGTAGAGTAGTACCAGGGCAGTGTTGCTAACAGTGTAGGGTAGTACCAGTACAGTGTTACTAACAGTACAGGGTAGTACCAGTACAGTGTTACTAACAGTATAGAGTAGTACCAGTACAGTGTTACTACTAGTGTATGGTAGTACCAGTACAGTGTTACTAACAGTGTGGGATAGTACCAGGACAGTGTTACTAACAATGTAGGGTAGTACCAGGACAGTGTTACTAACAGTGTAGGGTAGTACCAGGACAGTGTTACTAACAATGTAGGGTAGTACCAGGACAGTGTTACTAACAGTGTAGGGTAGTACCAGTACAGTGTTACTACTAGTGTATGGTAGTACCAGTACAGTGTTACTAACAGTGTGGGATAGTACCAGGACAGTGTTACTAACAATGTAGGGTAGTACCAGGACAGTGTTACTAACAGTGTAGGGTAGTACCAGGACAGTGTTACTAACAATGTAGGGTAGTACCAGGACAGTGTTACTAACAGTGTAGGGTAGTACCAGTACAGTGTTACTAACAGTGTAGAGTAGTACCAGTACAGTGTTACTAACAGTGTAGAGTAGTACCAGTACAGTGTTACTAACAGTGTAGGGTAGTACCAGTACAGTGTTACTAACAGTGTAGGGTAGTACCAGGACAGTGTTACTAACAGTGTAGAGTAGTACCAGGGCAGTGTTACTAACAGTGTAGAGTAGTACCAGGACAATGTTACTAACAGTGTAGAGTAGTACCAGGGCAGTGTTACTAACAGTGTAGGGTAGTACCAGTACAGTGTTACTAACAGTGTAGGGTAGAACCAGTACAGTGTGACTAACAGTGTAGGGTAGTACCAGTACAGTGTTACTAACAGTGCAGGGTAGTACCAGTACAGTGTTACTACCAGTGCAGGGTAGTACCAGTACAGTGTTACTAACAGTGTAGAGTAGTACCAGTACAGTGTTACTAACAGTGTATGGTAGTACCAGTACAGTGTTACTAACAGTGTAGAGTAGTACCAGTACAGTGTTACTAACAGTGTAGGTTAGTACCAGTACAGTGTTACTAATAGTGTATGGTAGTACCAGTACAGTGTTACTAACAGTGCAGGGTAGTACCAGTACAGTGTTACTAACAATGTAGGATAGTACCAGTACAGTGTTACTAACAGTGTAGAGTAGTACCAGTACAGTGTTACTAACAGTGTAGAGTAGTACCAGTACAGTGTTACTAACAGTGTAGGGTAGTACCAGTACAGTGTTACTAACAGTGCAGGGTAGTACCAGGACAGTGTTACTAACAGTGTAGAGTAATACCAGTACAGTGTTACTAACAGTGTAGAGTAGTACCAGTACAGTGTTACTAACAGTGCAGGGTAGTAACAGTACAGTGTTACTAACAGTGCAGGGTAGTACCAGGACAGTGTTACTAACAGTGCAGTGTAGTACCAGTACAGTGTTACTAACAGTGTAGGGTAGTACCATGACAGTGTTACTAACAGTGTAGGGTAGTACCAGGACAGTGTTACAAATAGTGCAGGGTAGTACCAGTACAGTGTTACTAACAGTGCAGGGTAGTACCAGTACAGTGTTACTAACAGTGTATGGTAGTACCAGTACAGTGTTACTAACAGTGTAGAGTAGTACCAGTACAGTGTTACTAACAGTGTAGAGTAGTACCAGTACAGTGTTACTAACAGTGTAGAGTAGTACCAGTACAGTGTTACTAACAGTGTAGAGTAGTACCAGTACAGTGTTACTAACAATGTAGAGTAGTACCAGTACAGTGTTAATAACAGTGCAGGGTAGTACCAGGACAGTGTTACTAACAGTGTAGGGTAGTACCAGTACAGTGTTACTAACAGTGTAGAGTAGTACCAGTACAGTGTTACTAACAGTGTAGAGTAGTACCAGTACAGTGTTACTAACAGTGTAGAGTAGTACCAGTACAGTGTTACTAACAGTGTAGAGTAGTACCAGTACAGTGTTAGTAACAGTGTAGGGTAGTACCAGTACAGTGTTACTAACAGTGTAGGGTAGTACCAGTACAGTGTTACTAACAGTGTAGGGTAGTACCAGTGCAGTGTTACTAACAGTGTAGAGTAGTACCAGTACAGTGTTACTAACAGTGTAGGATAGTACCAGTACAGTGTTACTAACAGTGCAGGGTAGTACTAGTACAGTGTTACTAACAGTGTAGGGTAGTACCAGTACAGTGTTACTAACAATGCAGGGTAGTACTAGTACAGTGTTACTAACAGTGTAGGGTAGAACCAGTACAGTGTTACTAACAGTGCAGGGTAGTACCAGTACAGTGTTACTAACAGTGCAGGGTAGTACCAGTACAGTGTTACTAACAGTGCAGGGTAGAACCAGTACAGTGTTACTAACAGTGTAGAGTAGTACCAGGACAGTGTTACTAACAGTGTAGGGTAGTACCAGTACAGTGTTACTAACAGTGCAGGGTAGTACCAGTACAGTGTTACTAACAGTGTAGGGTAGTACCAGTACAGTGTTACTAACAGTGTAGGGTAGTACCAGTACAGTGTTACTAACAGTGCAGGATAGTACGAGTACAGTGTTACTAACAGTGTAGGGTAGTACCAGTACAGTGGTACTAACAATGTAGAGTAGTACCAGTACAGTGTTACTAACAGTGTAGAGTAGTACCAGTACAGTGTTACTAACAGTGTAGGTTAGTACCAGGACAGTGATACTAACAGTGTAGGGTAGTACCAGTACAGTGTTACTAACAGTGCAGGGTAGTACCAGGACAGTGTTACTAACAATGCAGGGTAGTACCAGTACAGTGTTACTAACAGTGTAGGGTAGTACCAGTACAGTGTTACTAACAGTGTAGAGTAGTACCAGTACAGTGTTACTAACAATGCAGGGTAGTACCAGGACAGTGTTACTAACAGTGTAGAGTAGTACCAGGACAGTGTTACTAACAGTGTAGAGTAGTACCAGGGCAGTGTTACTAACAGTGCAGGGTAGTGCCAGTACAGTGTTACTAACAGTGCATGGTAGTACCAGTACAGTGTTACTAACAGTGTAGAGTAGTACCAGGGCAGTGTTACTAACAGTGTAGGGTAGTACCAGTACAGTGTTACTAACAGTGTAGGGTAGTACCAGTACAGTGTTACTAACAGTGCAGGGTAGTACCAGTACAGTGTTACTAACAGTGTAGGGTAGTACCAGGACAGTGTTACTAACAGTGTAGAGTAGTACCAGGACAGTGTTACTATCAGTGCAGGGTAGTACCAGTACAGTGTTACTAACAGTGTAGAGTAGTACCAGTACAGTGTTACTAACAGTGTAGTGTAGTACCAGTACAGTGTTACTAACAGTGTAGAGTAGTACCAGGACAGTGTTACTAACAGTGTAGAGTAGTACCAGGACAGTGTTACTATCAGTGTAGGGTAGTACCAGGACAGTGTTACTAACAGTGTAGAGTAGTACTAGTACAGTGTTACTAACAGTGTAGAGTAGTACCAGTACAGTGTTACTAACAGTGTAGGGTAGTACCAGTACAGTGGTACTAACAGTGTAGAGTAGTACCAGTACAGTGTTACTAACAGTGCAGGGTAGTACCAGTACAGTGTTACTAACAGTGCAGGGTAGTACCAGTACAGTGTTACTAACAGTATAGGGTAGTACCAGTACAGTTACTAACAGTGTAGGTTAGTACCAGTACAGTGTTACTAACAGTGCAGGGTAGTACCAGTACAGTGTTACTAACAATGTAGAGTAGTACCAGGACAGTGTTACTAACAGTGCAGGGTAGTACCAGTACAATGTTACTAACAGTGTAGGGTAGTACCAGTACAGTGTTACTAACAGTGTAGGTTAGTACCAGTACAGTGTTACTAACAGTGTAGTGTAGTACCAGGACAGTGTTACTAACAGTGCAGGGTAGTACCAGTACAATGTTACTAACAGTGTAGGGTAGTACCAGGACAGTGTTACTAACAGTGTAGGTTAGTACCAGTACAGTGTTACTAACAGTGCAGGGTAGTACCAGTACAGTGTTACTAACAATGTAGAGTAGTACCAGGACAGTGTTAATAACAGTGTAGGGTAGTACCAGTACAGTGTTACTAACAGTGTAGGTTAGTACCAGTACAGTGTTACTAACAGTGCAGGGTAGTACCAGTACAGTGTTACTAACAGTGTAGGGTAGTACCAGTACAGTGTTACTAACAACGTAGAGTAGTACCAGTACAGTGTTACTAACAATGCAGGGTAGTACCAGGACAGTGTTACTAATAGTGTATGGTAGTACCAGTACAGTGTTACTAACAGTGTATGGTAGTACCAGGACAGTGTTACTAACAATGCAGGGTAGTACCATGACAGTGTTACTAACAGTGTAGAGTAGTACCAGTACAGTGTTACTAACAGTGTATGGTAGTACCAGGACAGTGTTACTAATAGTGTATGGTA